AAATCTGTATATATAACGTCAGTCTGCATGTTATTCTTATATCCATTTATTACAATAGATGATAGTTCAAGAAGGTTGGTGGTGGTCGATCTTCGCTTAACAAAACCATGCTGACACGGTGATATTAGCGAGGAACATAAATGCTGCAAATGAGAAGTAATAATACATTCAAATGCTTTAGGAATTGCCGACAATTTAGAAATGCCTCTATAATTCTGGGCATCCGCCTTCGCACCCTTTTTGTGGAGTGGAATAATGAAAGAGTCCTTCCAGATAGTTGGAAAAACTGATGATGAAATAGACAAATGAAAAAGTTTAAGAATCGGTTTACAAATGGTTGAAGCACAAAACTTAAGCACACTCCCAGGGAGTCCATCAGGACCGGGAGAATACGTTGGCGTTGTTGTTGCTAAATCCTTTAAAAGAGAACTTTCGGTAATTACAGGGGTAAAAATACAATTAGCCCTATTTAAGTGGTTAGGGTAGGTAGGGTTTGACCAAGCAGCCGAACTATAAGTAGTTTGGAAAAACTCGGCAAATAAATCCGCAATTTCAGAATCCGACGATGCCTCTTTTGAGTTTAAACGTACCGATGAAGGCAATGCCGAAGACTTACGCTTGGCATTAACGAAGTTATAAAACTGCTTCGGATCATTTGAAAACTCGAATTTACATCGATTTAAATACATGGAATAGCAATGACTGTTGAGAACATTAAAATCTGAACGAGCCACAACATATTTCGCAAAATCAGATGGCTTTCCCGTTTTTTTATACTTTTTATAAGTGTTGGATTTAAGATTTTTAAGTCTTTGAAGCTCATTGTTAAACCAAGGAGGCCTGTTTAGCTTCGGAGGAAGACTGTCAGGTACGCATTCGTCAAAGAAAGTGTTTAAAACGCTATAGAAAAGTTCAATTGCACTGTCAATATCCATGCAATTGTACAAATCAGTCCAATTATATTGAGAAATCATGTAGTTTAGTTTATTATAGTCACATTTACGAAAGCATCTCCTTTTAGTTTGAGGAACTAAAGGAGAAAGGGTATCAGTACAGGGGAGGCCAATTGTCAATTCCAAAGTTGGATGATATTGGTCTTCAGGTACAACAAGTGCGTCAATTCTAGCTACAGTGACTTCATGCGGATCTAAAACAAAGACTAGATCTAATTGTCTATTTAATGAATTTCGTATAAAGCTTACTTGCTGTAACGATAATTCTAAAAGGCCATCCACAAAATCATGGGCGGATAAAGGAGTAGCGACAAGTGAGTCAGTGGGAAGAGACCAAGAGATATTTGGGAGATTAAAGTCACCCAAAACAATCAAAAGGTCTCTGTTAGAAAGAAAGGATAGAACAGATTTAATAGCAGACAGATGGTGCTCATAAATTATTAAATCAGAGCCAGGAGGAATATAAGAGCAGGTTACAAAAATAGATAAGGATTGAATGGAAACTTTGACACTAACAAATTCAATATCGTTAGGGATATGAATGTTAAGCCTCTCCGATGTTAAACTAGAGGTAACGGCAATCAGAACACCACCCCCCTACGCGGGGAGCGATCGGTCCTGTAGGTGTTAAAGTTCATTGACAAAACTTCAGAGTCAGATATCTCTGGTTTCAGCCAAGTCTCCGTAAAAGCCAAAATATCTTCAGTAAATGCAGAGGAGTCAGCATAAAGCTTTGGTAGCTTCATATTTAGTCCTCTAACATTTTGATAAGCCAAAAATAAACCTGTTAGTTTTTTGGCACAGTGGAAGGCCTATTATTAGGCACAGTGGAAAGCCGATTATTAGGCACAGTGGGAGGCCTGTTATTTGTTCTCGGTTTATTGGGAACAAATTCTTTTATTACCAAATCATCATTAAGCCAAAAGCTTTCAGAAAGTAGTACATTAAACACATCAGGCGGAGCAAATATTTTAAAAGAAGATATCCTACGGGCGTACGAAAATCGAAATTGTTCAACTTCAATGTCCTCGGATGGGAATTTTTCACGTATGAATTCCATAACATCCTCAGATTTGGTATCCGGGGTAAATCTAGAAACAAACAATTGCTTCCTATGTGGAACAACTGAAAGTTTCTTACGCCCCCCAGCAGCAGTCTGAACCTCACTCGGCTGGGACCCAGAAGCGGTTCCTACTGTACCTACGGTCAGCACCGACTTCTGTAGCTCAGGTTGGCATCCAGAAACAGGGTCACCTCCGGAACTGGCTGTTACCATAGGCACAGGTGGCTCGCTTACCCCTGTACCGACCGGAACTGCTGCAGCTACCGAGTTCAATGTTTTGTTATGTTTCACGGTCTTATTAACCGCCCCTGAGCTGGCTTTTTTCCGTTTAGGCGACTCAGTTAATAATAATTTCTTATTATTAAATTGGTCGCAAACTGAGTTGAACCCGTCATTGAGCTGTGTGAAAACTCGTGAAAGGTTTAATAGTCCGTCTCGAGTCTGCCTCATAAAGCTGCTCATTTCGACTGTCATTTCCTTGCAGGACTCACATGCCCACATGAGACCGGTACGCATTTCAATGAAGTCTTTAACTCTGCCAGTAAATCCTGCACATTTGACGTGCATGACCGAATCGCAGAGCCAGCAGATAATAAAAGAATCTTTGGTTGACATCGGAAGAGCACAACTTTTCTTCATACAGATAAGGGCCATTTTATAGGAAAAAAAGATTATTCAAAGAAATAGAAAATAAAATGTGGAAAATATACCTCGAGTAAATTTGGCACTGGGATCAAATTCCAAAACCGCAAAAAACACAAAAGTATAAGAGCGCGAGATCGCGAATTAAGTCGAGAGCAAGAGAGCGCGAGAGAAAAAGTGTTCAATCGACTGAGCGTGGCTTGTGCGGCACCAACAACAAAACGAACGAACAGTTACAATGTAAAGCGAGAGAGAGAGACTATGAGAAAAGCACCCAAGAGTCTACAAGAAATTTGGCAGGTTCCGAGAGAGCGAAATTACAGTTAAAATAGAGCGGAATAGAGAGAGAGAAAAAGAGAGAGAATACAAGAGCAAATTTAGAGAGCGCAAAATAACACCAACAAAGCCAAGATATTAAACAAATCTAATGGAAATTGTTAAAATAACTAAAACCACATACCCGTTAAACAGGGAGATCTATTTAAAACACTAACGCGATTGTTAGGCAAACTTTGTTAGATGCTAAACACAAAACACTTGCGTAAAAAATCACAAAAATAAATCAAAAACTCAGAGCACAGGTAAACACAACCGTTCACAAGCGACGCTAAATCGATATCATATCCCTTTCTCCTGCTGTCTCGATTTGCCGGCTCAAATCCCAGTAATTTACGGCAACAGGCAGCAATGGGTAATTGCCAAAGTTTATTAACGGAAACAGAAGCAAGGGAAAGCCGGGGACAAAGGACCAACTCCAGGATTCGGAAGATGGAGTCTCGGCGAATTCGGCGCGTCCATGAATATGAAATGAAGTCAAAGGGCCAGACAGAGAGATCCCCTTTGGGGGGCCCAGGATGTCCGCGGAGTGAGAGGGTCATAAACAACAATTTATAAGCTTTAATGAAAATTGGTTGAGAACTCGAGGGCGGCGGAAAGAAGTTAGCCGGCTCACTGCGGCTTTTTTAGAGCGACTTGCAAATAAATTAACTGCTAACCCTGCGGATGCAAACTAAGAGCGTTGTTTACACCTCGGACTGGTCCGCCCCACCTGGCTGGGCTTCCGTTTTCCTCTTCTTTTTTTGGCCATTAAATTTATGCCTCACCCGGGAATTCCCAACCGACGGCTCATAAATCCTGCACCTTTCTCACCCATCACGACTCTGCCGAATTTGTCCTTTCGCTTTCGACAAATGCATATGGAAATTTTATGCAAATTTCCATTGTGTCAGCAATTTGTAACGAATTTGCGCTGGGAAATGGCTCGAAAAGCCGCCGCAGGCTGGAAATTTAATTTGCCCGGTGCGGTAGGTAAATCAAATTGCATAAACGTCAATTTGCTAATCCAATATTTGAGCTAAAACTTGGGCGGCGAGCTCTGCGGCTTTTTGAGTGCCGCTCTTCAATTTCAACTTTCGACTGGAGCACTTTAAGTGGCGAGTGTTTCAAAAGTTTCGCCCGCCAGTGCAACTGAAGCTGACAAAATATTTTCTGATTACTTTTCCACATTGGCAACACTTCAAGATGTCCCCAAAGAGCTGACAGCAGAAGAAGAGCTCGGCGAATATTTTCAAAATAAATGTTATTGTAACAAAAGTTGCTGCAACTGATAAGGGAAGTGGAGGAGCGGCCACATCCTTGAGGGAGAAGCCGGGACTGCTTGTTGATGGCACTTTGATGATGGCCGAGCCGAGGAGAACTTGGTCAGCTTCAATTACTCGGATCCTCTTGGTGAGTTTCCATTCCCATCCACGCCTGCCGTGACTGGGCCGCATTAGGAACCGGAGGCTGGAGAACATAGAGCCCAGTGCCCAGAACCCAGGGCCTCATCATAATCAACAGTCAACAAAAAGAACGACCAACACGTGACTACACCACAAAACTCTCAGGAATATAGAAGTTTTCCCCCCCAAAACCCATCCCCTGGCAAATGAGCTGCTGGCATTCTGCTGTTTCCATTTTCCTTTTTTTCGGTAGCTGTCTGCACTTAATGGAAAATGTCAGTTCGCCTCCGGCGTCAAACGTTTTATTGAAGTTTTCACTGAGGCGCCGAACTCGGCGAACCCAGTGCGTCATCTGCTCCTTTGGCCACCTTTTGGATTTTTCCCGCTCCTGCGAATCAGTTTGGAGTCTCCGTGGCCAGCCGTTAAACTTAACGAACCGGAAGTGGTAAAGGGAAAAGCGCAGGGAAAGGTCTTCGCTCTCAGAGGAAAAGTGTTCGAGTACTCGGCGATATGATGAAGAATCAGCGCTGTCAAATTACCGTGAAAAATTGTGGTTAATTTTTATGGAGGACGGGTGCTAAAAAATCACAATACACCTTTGAAATATATTTCAGTCAGTAATCTAAAGGAACCGAGTCACTAAAAGCATTCAGTTTGCCCCAAACGTACCATAAATTTGTTTAAAAATGAGCAGTCAAATTAAAAAGTCAAAATCGACCTCCCCGAAATTGGTGAGATCATCGCCGAAAAGTGTTCCGAAAGCTGCAGGCGAGATACAAATTTTCAGTTGCCAGTTTGAAGTGTTTGGTCATGTGCAGGGTAAGAAAAAATAAATAAATGTAATAAATTATTAAAAAGCATACCCTTTCAGGTGTTTTCTTCCGCAAGGTAATCTCTTAAATTAGAATCTTTTATATGATTTTAATGTTGACATTACTAAACCTTTAGCATACTCAAAGGAAGGCTAAGGAGTTGGGAATAACTGGCTGGTGCATGAACACAACTCACGGAACAGTCAAGGGAATGCTGGAGGGATCCTTGGATCAAATGACTGACATGTGAGAGAGATCTTTTAATAATTACAAGTAAAATGGATCAAAAAATTATCTTCCTAGGAAATACTGGCTGCAGCACAAGGGAAGTCCTCGTTCAATGATCGAGAAGGCGGTTTTCTCAGAGAATGAACCTTTGCCTATCAACAACTTCAAGATGTTCTCAATACGTCGCTAGATCTTAATTTTTTGTATGGAAGTTTCGTAATTAATTTTGTTTAACCTAACAATGGGAATGTCCTTTGAGCGTGTAACACCCGTTTGTCAGGACATAAAGCTAAAACGTGAGAATCGCTGAGAGCACGTAATAAAAATTCAGTTCTGGCTCCCAAAACAATTGTCGTGTTAAGTGTGTACGCCGCAAATGGCCGAAAGTTGTCCGTTCTCCGGGGATCTATGCCCGCTTGCCAATTAGTAAGGCCATGAGCCATCGCAAATTGCCTTTCTAACATTTTGCCATCGCTATTTTTACACTGATGCCGCCGCACCAATTGTCAAAACATTTTCAATTTGTTTTTTCAGCCATCAAACTGTTGGTGTTTTCAACTCCGAAAACGGGCCGAGTTTCGAATGGCTTCTGCCAATTTTGCGACAAATATTGTGCATCCCGAAAAAGGCAAAACAAATTTACATAAATAAATAAAAGTTGACTGAGTTCACAAATGGTAACAGTTGGCGCCTGATGGCAATTAAAAGCCACTGCGCCACTCTCGACGGTTTGTTTTTTACTGTGTTTGTCTTTTTCACCAAGGGGACGCTCCGAGCTTACTCCACTGGATGCTGCTGTTATTTATTTGGATTGTTTTGTGTGTCTGGCAAACACTTTATTATAAACTGTTGAAACCGCAAAAAGTGCACTGGCTAAACAAAATTGTTTTCGTTGCCCAATTGCCGGTGTCGCAGGGATGGGACGAAATAAAAATTAAATTTATTCGCATTGGAGTTTCTCATTATATACGAACTTATAATTGCGGGTAGCCAAAAAGAATTACGGAAAATAATTTTTTATTAAAGGTACCAATAAATTTAAATTTTTTCTAAATCAGACCGAAATAAACAAGACTTTTTCTTGAATGCGCAAACGTAAACTCTTGTGCCAGGGAAATATTTAGCATGTATATATTTAGGACTTTGAAAACCTTCCTTGGTCCTGCTCCCGCAGCCTCCGATTTCTCGCCCGTACGATTTCCTCAGGATTTTTTCCATCGCGGGCCAACTCGCGGCTCAATAGACGTCTATAGAGGAGCATCTTGCGCTTGGTTTCCGGCGTTCCTATGGCGGTGCTGAACTGCATTCCCGACTGATGGCCTCGGGACGAGGACCTTCATAAAGAAATAGGTCCAAAAGAGAAAGGATAGGAAAAGAGGATGGTGCTCGATGCCGCGATTGCCGATAAAGGCCAGAGTTAAGGCCAATGGAAGCGAAAACATGGCCAAAAGCCTGTTCAACTCTGGTCCTTGTCCGCCTGCTCTTAACTTACGCCTTGTTTTCAGTCATTTTATAGTTTTGTTCAACTTTAGCCGAAGAGTTTACGTTCAAATTTTGGGGCGAATTTTGAGAACTGAAATGAGACCTCTTGTCGAAAGATTCACAAAAGCACTGAAAGCCGATTCGTAGCTCCCTAGATATAAAATTCAAGGAAATAATTCGAAATTCAAATCAATCGCAGTGCCACAATTTCTGTTTCGCTTTAGGAAACTCTTGAGGACTTTCCCTGCATTTTCCACCATAACAACGGACCAAATTAAGTCATTAAATGCCACCGAATTCCGAATGCACCAAAGCAAACGACAACAAGACACGCAAGCAGATAAAAACCCTGGAGGAAGGGGCTAAAAAAAGGAGTTATGAGGGTGTGGAACCGCTAAAAGCCGGATTCGGTAGCGCCGATAATCAATTCCGTTTCCGGCTGACAGTTTGCCGCATCGTGCGTGACCCAAAATATGCATAAACAGCACAAGAAAAATAATAATAATAATTGTAATAATTTCGTGATCCGCCAAAGCAAAGGCGCCGACAGGCAAAGGGGCGTGGCATGCGATGCACGGCCATTGAAACTTTTAGTTCGCGTGCTCGCATGTCGAAAACGGTTGGAAAACCCGCTCCATTAGTCGCCACTGAGCGTTGATAACGAGTTCATTGACGAGTTCATTGGCACATTGATTCCCATTGATTGGGTGGAACCCGATTTCAGTGGGTACTAACCCAAATGCGGTTAGTGTGGCGGCTTAAATCGGCATGCTAATCGCAGAGCAAAGGCGAAATGCCAGAGCTCCAAAAAGTTTTGCAGTGAAGGAAGGAAATCAATTTTAAAATTCTTCAAAAGAAAACTACAGTCTTGGAAAAGGTTCTTAGATAAATTCGAAGTAATAATATAATTTTGGATTTAATATTTCTTATAAATAATTTCGGCCACATGGATTTCAAGTACTGGACAGTTAAATTTATTAATAACTATTTAAAGTTATATTTTTTCGCATTATTCCGAATTAATATTTGGATTGTAAGACATCCAATAATAAAGAACCAATCATTTTTTTTTTAATTTATCGGTTAGGTTAAGTTTAGTCCTACCTATTGGAATAAATATTCCTCTGCGTAACAGTCCTGGCTGCAGCGGCTTATTAGACATTCAGACCATGTTCCTTGGGGCCATTCTAAGCCACATAAGGCCCCCGAATCTGCCAGCTGACTATATTCCAAATCTCAGACCACACACAATCGCTCCAGACGGATACGTGAGGCAAAATTGCCGCATCACCAGAAGCAGCAACAGAAACAGTTGAAACCCCAATTTCCCTGCCCTTCAGTTGTCTAGACGCAAAACCCATTTCTATGCCACCAAAAAAAACTGTTCTCGTTGCGCAAATGTTACATTATAGACTATAGAGCGATGGAGGAAGCAAATGTGGCAGTTGAGAACGAGGGGTTCAAAATTAGATATAGGAACAGCCGTTACCTCGAAAGAAAACTTATTAAAATTTTACAGCCCCATTTCTTGGTGTAAGAAATTAAAATTTCCCAAGAACAACACTTTAAAGCCGTATTTAAGTAGACTGTGAATGTTTCTTGTGGATTAAAAGCAGTATATTTAAAAAACACATGTTTTCGTTACTTTCTTTATAATTTCTCAATATTTACTAAGAATTTTAAAAATTTTTTCGGCATTGCATGCTATGGCATCGTGTTGCGTGGCAATTTGATGAATGTGTTCCTTGATTAACCCTGATCCCAGGTCAAACCTCGAAACGGGCCTTAAATCAGTTTTAACCCCTTTGCATGCAGCTGGAAAATTTCAGAGGCAAGCAAACTTTGCATAATAAATGAAGGCGATAAGAATGCTGTCCGGCTTTGTTTATGTTTATGTTCCTTTGCCTTTTATTTTTATGGAATACCTAGGGGCGCTCGAAACGAAACTTCTGTGGATGGCAAATGCTTTTCGTGCCCTGATTCGGATCCTAAATGCCTGGAGCTCAAAACAAAGTTGTCTCAGCTTTGAAGATTTCCACACAGAAGGCCTTCTGTTTTACTGTTATCAAAAAAAGTCAAGGGTCAAATTAGCCTTTGAACTTCTATTCAAACTGCCAACCAAAAGTCCCAGTCAGTCATCAAATAATGTGAATCAAGTCGGATCCATTTTTTTGTATAAAAAGACACAGGAAAACACAAATTTTCGACCTGCAAAATGGAAGAGACTGAAATTTCAGAAAATAAAAATTTAACACAAGCAGACAAGATGAAACCAGCAAGTGCACATGGTGAACACAAGGAGTTGTATTTGTTGAGTGTTTCAGATTCAGAAGATTCACTTGGACAAATGGGTCTTGACAAGAAAAAGTTAAGTACGGTCAAGAATCTCAAAATGATGCAATCAAATGTGGACGATTTGGAGCAAAGCCGACAGGCAAAGGAAAAAACGCTGGATGTACCACAAAATAATATGGATGTTCAGGAAAAACAGAAGATCGAATCAGAGGCATCCATGCAGTTAAGTAAAGCTGAAGAAAATGTGGAAATTTCTGGAACCGAGGAGGATAACATCAGAACGAACTTGGATTCGGCAAAGGTTAGTCGAAAGGACTCAAAAGAACTAAGTCAAGAACAAAACAAGACAGAAATATCTGGAACAAAGGATGAAAATATCGGACTAAAGAAGGCCTCAGAAAAAACTATTCCGAAGAAACCCAAGGTACCAAGTCAAGCCAAGTTAAGGGATGCGGTGTCGAATAGACAGCTAAATAAGGAAGAGAAGTCCCAAAACAAGTTAAGTGCAGAAGATGATTCTTCTCCCCAGAAAAGTCTCTTTGGAGAAATTAAGGCAGACGAGGAAAATCGCAAAACGGAACATCAAGCAGGCGAGGAAATTCTGAAGAGCATTCCAGAAAAACCTGTAAAAGGAGTACTAAACGCAAAGGAACAGGACACCATTCCCAAGCCCGAGCATTTCCAGCAGACCTTGAGTTATCGGAATGAACCAACGGCAAGCACTTCTTCTTCTGCATCGGATTCGATAAAAGATGCAGAAAAACCTAATAAAATTGAAATGAAGATCGACCCAAGGAACAAAATTAAAAAGGACATGGAAGAATATTTCAGTGGCATTCAGGCCCTGGAGGTGAAGAAAAAGCTGCACGATGAGATGAACGCAAAGGAGGCCGAAGCCATTTTGAAGGAGGAGCAGCGAAGGAAAACCTGGAAGGAAATGCTCTCAGAGGTCGGCCGAGCCACATCCCTGTCCACATCCACGTAAGGAAAAATATAACCCATATAATAATATTGAACCTGATGAATTCTATGCGTTTATTAGTCACAGCACTTCCACGGGAAGACCTCCCCGATCCGTCGTGGTGGCCATCCTGCAGCGCACCGCAAAGGCTGAGTACAAGAGGAAACTGACCATCCTCCAAGATAACTTCAAATATCGCCTGGGGCTGATCAAGCAGCTTAAACACGACATGAAAAACAACTTTAAGAGCGAAGCCCAGCAACTCTATTGCGACTACCACACCATCAAGAATCAGACTCAAAACCAACCCACTCTAAACGAGATGTATACGGTGTACTCCAAAAACAGCCACGAAGAATAGCAATCCTTAGCGAGAACCATTAGTTAGCCTTACCTCTTGTACCTCTACTATCCACCACCATTAAGGAACCATAGAGATAGGAAACACTAGAAACGAGTAACCGGCAGCCGAAAGAAGGATAATGACTACACCTCTTGTACCTCTACTGATCACCAGACACTCTCACCAACCTTTGAAGTACCGAAGCTATGAATGTGGGACCACCCGCCGAGGGAAAGATATCATAGGGCTATATCTATTGGTATTCTATTAGTATTTCGACACCCACTCCACTTAGAACCTCACTCTATCTTGACTATTATCTACTGACTTAACTTTAAAGCACTAGAAGAAGTGTAGAAGTCTCGAAATCAACGCTGCAAAAGTGGAACAACCTGCCGAAAGCAGGATATTATGGGACTGTACCTCTTGCATTCATTTTGTGCACTTGCTTCTTTGCATCTTGAAGAAGTGCCTCTGTATCTCATTAACAGTGTTTTAATGGTACAGTCACCACTCGCTCTGTTCGCCCCCTCGGTATGCAACAGTTTTACTGTATACCCAGCCACCTTAAATTTGCGCCACTTCTGTTTTGCATGTCGAAATAAAAACAGCTCACAGCAAAGACAATGAAAATTGACCCAAATACCTGGCTCTATTGTAATTTTCCTCCTTTGGTATTGTAATTTATGGACTGCGAAAGTGGGGGGTGTGGGGTGTTTGGGGTCGCAGCTGCCGGGGAAAAGTGGAGCAGCGAAGTGAACAAAAGGTGCCCGTTGATATCCAGTTCATATTGTATTGCTGGCTTTAAAGTTTAATTTCGCAGCAACATTTTACCGAGGCACTGAATCCGAGCCTTTGAATATCGAAACTCCGCAATTTTTCCGAAACACTTTAAACTATACTTTAATGATTTTCAGCTCAAGGAAGACTTTAAACTTTCCAAAGACCGTTGATCACCATGGTCGTGGGTGAGAATCGCTCCACGGGCGGCTAATCCGTTCAAAGCTGCCAAAAATCCCCGGCGTTTTTGGTTCGATGTGACGCACAAAAAGCTGATGGGCCCATTTGGTTGGCGGAGGGGAGAAAGGTTGGCCAAAGTGACGGACGGACACTCGTGGCAGGCGCTTAGCAACAGACAGACAAAGCTGCAGGCCTAAGCCCACGCCCCCTTTCTCCTCAGCCGCCCCCTGCGGCGGCTTACAACAAAGCAAAATGGTAAATAAAGGCCAAAAGCGCTGACAGCGGGCGTTGAAATGGAAATGGAAATCAAAATCCGACTCCCATCCCGAAATCAAAGCAAATCAATGGCGAAGCCAACGCTTCTCTCCCGCTCCCAAAACAAATTTTGATGAAAATTGAAAATGTACTTTGGCAATTTGGATTGCAGCACCGTGCCGACAATGAAATATGTCAATTTCAATTATGCCAGGGTAAAACACACGCCTCTCGCCGCGGGCTAAAAAAAGTACTCGAATCCGAGTCTATTTCGACGCTTCAACAAATGTGTCAATTCCCCTGTAAAGCTCTATCGATTGCAGAATTGGCAACGCCTTGAATCGCCTTCGATTGAGCCATCATCAACTGGGGGGCTGATTGTCGGCCGGGTAATTATAGTTGTTAGGGCTCATGTCGGCCCGGAATTTGCTGACAGTTGTCTGCCGCCCGAGGCGTGGATTGCGAAACGATAAAGCACCCAGTTTGCCAATAAATATAATGTTCCTTGCGGCAGCTTAGCCAGTTACGTAGGGCAGATTATTTAAGTTGAAAATCCCTTTTAAAAATTAAAGCTAAACAAAATGGGTTATTCAGATAGCACACTTTATCAAGGAAAATGGAACAAGCAAGAGCAAAATAAAAGTTGATTACATTTAAATGGATCTGTTTATCTTAAGTCACCTTTAACCCAATTTTATTTTAATTTGAAATATGAAACTTAAAAAATATTAAAAATTTTTATTGGTTACGTAGTCAAAACCCAGTTGAAAATTGTTTTATCATTTTTATATTTTGAAAATATTATTATTATTATTATATTATTTTCAAATTAAATAATTATTTTATGCTTTGCAAGAAGCAAATATTTAATAGTGTGATGTTAATTAAAAAAGTGGTTATGAACAATCTTGCTACCGGAAACATAAGTAGCGTGTGCGAAACTTGGTGCAATTCACTTTGAAAACTTTGCGCGAGACTCATCAATTTCTCAGGTCTGCCGTGAGATTTCCTGTAATATAAACTCCTGCTGCAGGGACTTATCAAATGGGAACTATCAAAAGGCCATAAAACTTTCGCCCAACACTTTGCAGACAGGAAATATGACAGGGCTCTGCACAATGAAACGAGCTACCGGTCATTTGCCATGTCTAACTGAGAAGACTGACTGACTGACTGGCTGACCATCTATATGTCCTCTGTTCACCAGATTGATTTGCAAGTGGTTGGAGGGCAGAGCTGGGATTGAAATTGAACTTGAAAAGTGCACAGCAGACAGGCAACATCGCAATGACAATGACAAGGCTCTCACGATTACACAAAAGCAACCGAGCAGCAGCGGCAGAGGCAGAAAATAAAATGCCACGACTCCGGGTCTCCGACTCCCTGTTGTCGATATGATCTCGTCATTATGTCGCCAAAGGCAGACTATTGCCGCGGGATGGGGATGCGGATTGCAGGGGGAAGACAAGTCTGCAAGTTGCGTCGTGTGGGCGACACTTTTATGTGAAATTGATGATGATTGAAAGCTGCATCGCATGGAAGAGCCAAGCATTCCTAGACATGCCAGCGTGATACTCACGACAGACGGGGATAATACATCGATAAAGGGTGGCAGGTCCAACATATATATTTTTATATATTTTAATTCTAAATATTTCTTTTAAACCAATGTGAATAGATTTTTAGTTGTGTTTTGACTAAAAATTTAAATATTACAAAAATAAAATATGTTGTAAGTACATAATTATTAATAATTTTACCTTTAAATGTAAAGCGTTTTAAACACTTTTTAAGTTTATCTAAATTTTAAAAGGTTTATATCCCTGACTTTTCCCATCACTGGGCTTCAGATATATAGATCTCTATCCCATCCCTAGTTGCAATATTGTGCCAGCCCCTTGCTGCTGTCGGCATTCGAATTAAACAATTAAAAGGAAAACAGGCTAAGTTATATTCCAACATCTCGGGCCCCCATCCCATCCCATGACTCCCATTTAAGGCTGGCCACAGATTTTTATGGCGCCACGATGTTCTTTAAGATATATGTGTCAAAACTACTTCTGTGCCATCGTAAATTTAATTCATAGGCGTCTGCGTCACCAGCTGATGATTGTCATCATCATAATGATCATCCCAATCGCAATCAGAATCCCAATCGTGTGGGACTTGGAGGCGAGTGCTCATTGCATTTTTATCACTTACGCGAAATTGGTTTTTATGTGTCGGGAGTCTCATGTGCGCCTATTAAGTGGAAACGCTGCCTCCTATTCCTTGGCGACCGCACTCGACATCAATTCCGCATACGCAAGTATCACAACTACAATAAGTAAGTGATGTGGAGGGAGTACGCCATATAGGCAGGCAGTACGTATACGCAGGGATGGCCCGAAAGGCAGTTAAATGAAATGCTCCGCTGGCCGTTTAAGCGATGACAATCAGCCGAATAGTCAAGTGATATATTGCGGAGCACTTTCAGCCACCGACGAACTAAGGAGAGTCTTCTTCTCGGAGGAGGCTCTGTCATTGTTTTATTGATTTATAGGAAAGTAAATAGCAGCCAGCTGATTGCAGTGAACGAGTGTGTGGACTGTGCCACTTGAGACATTTTAACTTACGCACTTAATTTGGACATTGAATAGATGGAATCGTCGGAAAATTACCTGTAATAGAAGAAACATCAAATCATTAGAAGGGATGTAGAAAATGTAAAAATAATTTGTAGTTTCATTTAAAGTGTATATAGAACCAACATCTCGATGATACTGATATGTTGTTCCATTAACTTCATATGCCTATCTATGACCTGGAACGCACAGGGCAAACAAACTTCGACCATCATTCCCCCGATCCCCAGAATGAAAAATCTGTCAGGCTCAACAAACTGACAACCTAATGCCACAAGCCGACCAACCAATCCCTCCCAGCCGCAGGAGCAGCAGCTCAATGACTTGGCCAGACTGGTCTCTGTGGTAAAATTTAATTTAACATACAATTCAGAATGCCCGGCGACAAATTCTCTGGCCAACAACTAGGGCCACACAATGGCCGCACTGCCAAAATTGTTGCCTGGACACAAAGTTTTCAGCTTTCATCCAGGAGGAGAGGGAGGGGAGATGGAGGTTGAGACTGGAGGCCGAGGACGAGGCCCAAGGCTCGAACCCTTAATTATATTGAGTGTATGAAATCCTTTGGCCACACAATGGCCGGCAGGAAGTGAAAGTGGCCATGTCCTTGTCCCTGTTCGCCGTCGTGTTTAGTCCAAGCAATTTGCAATTTTTGGTAATTTAACTTGACAAAACTTTTTAATGGGGGGAAGTCACCCCACTCGAGATCTGACAATGGAAACGAATGGCATTTGTGGCCCCCGCTTCGATTCGATTCGCAACTGTTGCCAGGAATCCATTCAGCCGAGCTCCTTAATCCAAGAGAAAACCCCCATTCGCAACCCTTCACCCTTCACTTGGTCCCATAAAACCATAATTTTTGATTGTTATGTACTTAAAGGCGAATTTCGTCATGTGCGCTGAATGCAAATTTCGTTTTCAATTTCGTTTTTTATGTCTGCGCCTGGTCTATTATATTTTGTGATTTATGTTATGCTGGATCTGTAGCATCTAGGCAGAGGGGATGGTCCTGGGACGGGGAACATTAAGCGGACTAAGGCGTTAATATCCTTGGTGCCGGGGATTTGTCTGCTGGAGGGACTGGGCAGAAAAAAGTTGTGGCAATTTACGAGATGATTTGATTTTAATCTCTAACCGCCCTCTGGGAATATTCGAAATGCGTATTTTGTTTCTGCTGAATCGCTGATGTGAGCCGATTAAAAGGCAAATATTTATAAGTAAAGGGGATTGAAAGAGATTTATGTGAATCAAAATCAGGAATCTAAATTATTAATAACATTAAATAGAACGAGTATTCAACATTTGGGTTTCTTCTTTCACAACTTTCTCAAATGTAACTTCTAAAACCAAGAATATTTTCCATCGAGCTACTTTAACATTTTCTGATAGGTCTAATTACAAACAACAACAGCAGATCGCGTTGACAACAGAAGCTGCGACGCTCAGGGAATATAAAGTTGAGGGATAAAAGGAGAAAATAAATGTCCCGCCATAAGCCGTAATTTTTGCGCAAAAGTCGATCTCCCTCTCCCTCAAAGCAGTTTGAACTGTCAAAAATGACAAATAGTCCGTCGAGGATTTAATTTTGAATGCAACGCTTCGTGTTGCACTGCAGTAGAAATTAACTAAGCGACCTGGAAAAAAGGCGACTTTGGCAATAGGAAAAAGTGACTGGGAAAAGCACCCACCAACCACCGAAAATCTCGCAGACGGAAAACGGAATTGAAATCCACGATCCACGTACACACACCTTCAACATTCCGCATCCCCTCCCGTTTTCTGTCATTTTCCGAGGGGTGTGTTTGTCCAGGGGATGTTGCAACCGGGGCCGTTTCATGTTTGTCCGGGAAATTAGTTTGGCTCAGCGGCAGCATCATTGGAAAATAAAGGATTTTCTGTTTAGCGGCAGCTCGGAGGACGGGACGAGTATTTATAAATTACTCGTCCGCAGGACAATTGCTCAGCCATACGTTTTATTGCAATTTGTGAAAAATGCCCAACGGATCCCAAGGTTGCCGGGACTACTAGGCACGTGTATGAAGAATACCCTTCGGTCTATCCACTTATTAAAAATATTTGTTTGTAGTACTATATCTGCAAATGGGCATTGTCTGTTGGGGGTTCTCCGGTTGCGTCAACTGGCTTTATTTACGATTCGCTGGGGCGTGTAATTAAATTTTTGGACTGCACCTTTTCAGCAGGAAGCTCTGCACAGACAGGTCAAAGGATGTGGGAGTGTTTTATCCTGGTCTGTGGGTGAGTGCCCATTTTTAAAGACTGTCTTTAGGAAAGAAAATTTAAATATACTCAAAAAAAAATTAAAATGAAGCGATGATCAATTTGGTTTTAATTTTGACTTAATATTCTCATTTAGATATGCCCAAAATATAGAAACATGTTCTGAGTAGGCCAGTTTGAATTTCAAATGTGTCTTTCTCTATCTCGTTATCTTGTTCTATTTCTCATTGCTCTATTTCTTCTCCCCCCCACTAAGTATTTTAAGTCGCCATACTGCATCTTCCTGTCGGAGAATGCCTGAGAGAGAAATCGAAAAACGACAGTATTTAATATCAATTATTTAATATAAATACCAGAAATTTATCATGCGCATATCGATTTGATCCCGGCGTGTTTTTCTTCTGTGTGTACTTATCCACATTGGTTCAAAATTAAAAAAAAACTCATATTTTTATGAATGGCATAAATATATTTAATTTATTATTTTCGTTTCATTTATTTTATTCTTTAGTCCCAACTATTAATCATCGCATAATTTCGCTGCCCCCACAATTTGCGGACCATAGCTCATTGGAACTGTAAACTGAATTCATTAATTACTACAATTAGGCAATACACATTTTTTCCGCTCGGCCTCAAATTGTTTAATCTGGCAACCGTTTCAGGGCCGTGTTCCCTGCTAAGTGATACGCACGCGACCGAAGAGCCGACCAACCGACATCGACATTGGTAAAAACAACTTCCCACTCGGAGTCCTTAAAAGAGCCCGTTTCGGATAGGAAATAAAAAATGAAATGGAAAAATATATGTAAAGCTGCCGTGCCAGACTCGCCCAGGCGATGCAGCTTTGATTAATGGTTTCTTCCAGCACGTCATAAGCGGGCAGGTCCTGCCAAATCCCAACCCTCCGTTCGTTATCAAAGGCTGGGTGGCCAAAGCACCGGGCCGAATACCTTTTTTTTGTGCTTTTCAGAAAAGGAAAAGAGAAAAATAAAGACGGGGCTCTGTCGGTCCAGTCAAGTATAATTAACAACTTTGTTGGGCCGGTTTTCCTTTCGTTGTTCGTTAAGAAATTGCAAAAAGTTGTTGCTCGTTTTATGTAAATGATGTGTAAACACCACGTGCAGGAGGGCCGAGTGACCAAGTTCATAATAATCCAGAGCAGTGCAACAATGTAGCAGTTTGAAAAATACTCAATGCATATTTCGTGGCGCATGTCCATTAGCAGGGAAGGGGACTGAAACGAGAGTACAACGACACGTGTCGCCGCGATTTATTAGCATAATTTCTCTTCCTCAGGTTTTTTAATGCTCGCCACGGAAGCATTAAAGCGAAATGGATGTTCATCTACCCGAAATGATCCGGGGGAGTGAGGTGGGGCGAAGGCAGCCGACTACAGCTCTCGCTTTTCAATTTCCATGGCAGCCCCGGGCATCATCTTCGTCAGCATAAATTCCCAAGAACTACTCTCTTAATTGTTGTGCATTTGTCAACCTGAGCACACGAAGCACTTTCAAAAACCCCCGGCGTCAAACACTCGAACCTCTCCTGTCCCAGACCAATGGAAGATCCACACTTGAATCCAACACGAGACACTTTAAATTCTGGAACGCAAGCCCAGACACTCGCTGGATGCGAGTGTAAAGTAGGGAGTCTTGTGCTATTTATGTCTTACTTAGTAGCACATTTGCTGTGACTAGTTCGTAAATTAATTGGATTTGCAATTACACGCCCCACAAGAGCGAGACTAACAAACTGCAGACACATCGGGCAGTGGTGGGTTAAAGCGGAAATGTGCCAGTATATAGTGAATTGAATGAAAAGAGCTGACTAAACGGATGAAAGGCGAACTACAAGGTCTAGAAAGTGAATGAAAAATCACTTGAAAGGGCACAATAATTGAGGGAATGTTGAATAAGACAACAACACCAAGTAAACTTATTGAGAAGCGCATAGAAAGGCGCATTCTTTGATTCAGCTACTGTCTCGTCTGGTTTTCATTTTCCTTAATCAATAGAAATATATGTTTAGGAAACCATAAAATGCAGTCAAAAAACCAAAAGCATTCATTCCTGAAATCGTTAAATACCCCTCTACCTCAAGGAATTTTTATCCCTCCTTCAGATCGAACATTAAACTAATTGCTGGCATACAACATTTTTATTGCATTTGCCGACTCCTTTTCTGGCATTCCATTCCGTACATGCCGACGCTTAATATGCATAACAATAAATGGTCATATACGAGCTCAGGTTTCTTACTGCCCCAACCCAGGTTTCGACAAAAGAGCAGTCAGAGCAACACTCAAAAAATACACACAAAACGAACTCTCAAAGTGATGGCAATATGGGAAAATCAAAAGCGGAAAAAGCGAAAGCAAATTGCTCGAAGGCCTCACCTGTTCAAACCAGTCGTCCTAGGCGAACATTTCAATACAAATGGAAACGGCTATAGAAACGGACAGAAAGCAAATTTCATCCGAAATTAAATTAGATTTTTCGGCAGTCGAGGAAATTGCCGCACGCACGCAAACACCAGAAAATATAGAAATTACACCCTGGAACGCAGAATTCAAAAATATATCTCCCGATCTCGAACCATCCCCACCATGCAGGACTTCAATGCAAAACAACCGCAGGCCATTTGTTTGTAGACAAACATTTGGCATTCTATATGCCGGTATCTGAGCATCCGAGAGTGGTTTGCGTGCCCAGTCAAACGGAAATGGGCAAATGCCTACGCAAATGTGCGCATTTCAATTAAATTTCCGTTTTAATCACTTTTACAAGTTCCACTGCAACCGTCAAGAGTGGCCGGCATGGGTTAAGCAAGGGGTCACCGGCACATGTTGGTATGCTTACTCATTAAAACTGTGTCTGGGGTCAGGTCATGCGTTCTAATTTGATGATGTTGATCCCTGATCTGTGGAAGGAACATACTCAGTTGAACTTGTTGAGAATCGCATAGAGAGGCGCTTGAAGTGAATATGTTGAAGTGGTGTCACTAAGCAGAATGCTTTCAAAATCCTCAAATTAAAAAAAAATTCCATTTAATTGTGATGGACAAATTCCTAGAAATTATCATAATCAGAAATACTGGGAGCATATACGTTTTATTTACCATTCACTAATAAAAGCTTAAAAAAATGTTTGAATCTTTGAAATTTTGGGCAATAATTTTGATGATCAAGAGTTATGGGAACCTATTTTCGGGTAGAATACCTGCGACCGTCAGCCCTTAGCGTGGTTTCACTGTCCGTGCTCTGCGACTCGTTGTACTCCTTGTTGTTCCAGACCAAATTAACGGGAATGCTGAGAGAGATGCCCGATGAGGAAAAGGACTGGCCGGTGATTGTGGTTTCGGAACTGCTTCGCTCGTTGCAGAGTTCCTCGTATGGCACCAACGCCATGTCTCCTATATCAGGACACTCGCTGCCGCTCCAGGAACTGCTGGCCAAAGGACTCTCCACTCTATGATCGCCCAGTCCGCACTCTAAAATAATGGGCGATGTGCGTGCTCCGCTTTCGGCGGAGTTCCACTGAGTACCACTGTTTGGATCGCTGACCCTCTCGTAATCGTTGCCCACAAGTGCCAGCATGGAGGACAGAGTCCGTTCCTCCAACCTGTCGGTATGTCCGCCGGCCTTTGACCTCGGCATGGAGCGCAGACTCGCCTCCACGGGCAAGGAGCTGCGCCGAAGGAGCTTCTGCAGCGTCTTGAAGGACTCACGCATCTCCAGCAACTGCAACTCATCATACGGTTCGGTCAGTGGAGTATTTGGAACCGACAGGGCATTGATAAGGAACTCCAGGTCCTCCTCCATAGCTCTATACTTCGGTTATGGGTGAACGCCAAGAGGACTAAAACAACTAATTGGCTTTGAGCCTATATTTGAATTTCGAAATTTGTTACAATTTATTTCTGGGCTGACGAGAAGAAACGCAAAGCTACCCAACTAATGCCTAGATATTTCTTTTCAGAGAAAACCACAACAAACGTTCTGTCAGATTTTTATTAAAAAAAAAAAATTATACCTTACATTTTTATTTTATTTTTAATTTGAAAAACTTTTTACAGATATTATAAGATAATTATAGATTAATTTTTCATATCTAAAGTAAAAATGCCGCATCATTTGGTAATTTGTCCCTCTTCATGAAGATGTCCTTTTCGATTTGCAAACTTTTTTCATTAAATTCCGGCTGCGAGCTTTAAGAAGACCATCCTACGTTGCTGTTTCCCCCAAATCAACGTGCTCCTTCCACTCCATCCGATTCCATCCCCACCGAATTTGCTACAAAGTCATTACGAACAACTTAAGTTTGTGTTAAACACGCCTACATTACCAGATTTTGCATTCGGAGCGGCAAAAAGCAAAGTTTAGGGAAAGCAGCTGAGGCAGAAGTGAACTGCAAGAAGTGGAAAACTTGGGTTTGGGGCCGTGTAATAATTGTAATTTCGCACTGCCAGCGGAGGAGGAGCCGAGGAAAACACGAAAAATAACAATCAGAAAGCATTTAGCAGCAACTTCTGAAAGCGAGAGTCGAGGCAGTTGGCCAAAGTGTGTACGCTTGTCGACGGCAGGTGGCTTCCCATATCGACCATAGTTGCAAGTTCGTGTGTTTCCGATCCGGGAATGTGTGTGGGGTTCCCCCTTTTCGTGTGTCAACGCATGGGAAAACTTGGAAAAACCAGAAACAAACCATGAATTCCTTTAACGATTAAACAAGGAGCAGGAAACCACATAGGATACAGTGTTCCAGCTCCTCCCCCAAACACCCCCATAAATCTCCTCCGGGGTGTATCCAGAGTGTGTTTGTGTTTCGCCTGGTGTGGCAATTTTAATGGCCTGACCTACTTACGATTACAGCCAGCTCCTCTTTGTGCTTTTTATTGAACACTTAAAGTAACTAGCGTTCCTTTCTTTTAATTGCTCAACTTCCACCGTGAACATTAGGCTACGTTCTCCTGCTGCTCACGTCGAAAGTTTTGCCTCCGCTTGTCCTGCCATTTGTCAGGCATCAGAAAATATGTTTAATAATCTGAACGCATTACCAAAACAGCAGCCACTGTGCAAACAAACGGAAGCAAAAAGGAAAGCGCTTGCGGTCGGGGCTCCACAAGGGGTTGCAAGGAAAGCGACAAGGGGCAAACACATGTAGTCGACTCCAAAAGGCAGAGGACCGAGGACTCCAGACAGACAAAACAAACACCGAGGGTGAGATGGAAATATATTTGGAGAGGCAGGAAGAGACAGGGAGACCTACGATGGCAAAGAGGATATTTTTGGACAGTGGGACGTGTTCTTAGCTCATATCTAAAACCTAAGAGTTCTGATGCCTGAGGATCCCTCAAAACCTCATAAAGCTAATAAAATTCCAACACCCGTAAAAGACTTGATATGAAATGATGACGTTTTGATGATATGTGGTATTAATTATGACTTAATATGCGTCATATTAATTCGATATGCTCGAAATGTAAACAAATGTAGACTAGTTCGAATTTTAAATATGTCTTTTACCCTCTCACTCATGTAAGCGCTATCCCGCTAATGCCCTCTTTCTCAAAGTCAGAGAATCTCCGAGTCAGAGAAATCGGCCAAATAATTTAAATTTTACCAGTACTGCATAATAAATACAATGTGCGTATAAATACCAGAAATTTACCATGCGCATGTCGATTTGATCCCGCCGTGTTTTTTTGTGTGTTTGAATTCAATAAATTCCATTATTTTTCACTTTTTTTGTTTTGTCAGAATTTTCAAAAAAAAAACCCAACTTGCTCCACTGTGCCGAGCTGCCAGCCATTTGGTGCTCGTCTTCCAAGTCACAAAAGCCTATTAAATAACATGGTCCTACACATGCGACCTCCGAGGAGGGAAAGGCAGCAGCCGAAAGTTTTGCTCACAATTGGCAGGATAAGGCAGGAGCCGGTGGAATAAGCAGTGGCAAGCGGGCAGGAGCCCAAAGTGGTCACATGAAAATATGAAAATATTCATGGCTCAAGAGAAAAAACCAAAGAGAAAATAATGACGACAACAAAAATGCTGAAGACTGAATAGGGGAAGTCCTGACGGAGTAGAGGGAAACTCGCATGCAGGCAAATGGCAAAAAGTAAACAAATAAACAAATGGGATCGGGCTGTATCCTTGTCCCCCGCCCGCTCGTTATGTGGAGGAAACTTCAAGAACGATGACGACGCCGACTGTGATAGTCAGCCACCCATGTCTAAGACATTTGCATACGGACCTGGAGCTGCGTCTCCGTTTCCTATTGCTTTAGCGAGGCATCTTTGGCCAAATTTAGGGGAAAATTCTATTATTTTAGCTGCTCAAACATCTTCTCAAAGTCCCTGCAGTTAGTTGTTCACTTTGCCAGCCCGATGACCGACCACTTGAGTCCTTTGGCCCCACTACAAGGCTATGTAAAACAGTTTGCCCCTCCTAACTCTTCTCCCTTTGAGCTGCAGCTGGAAAATAAATGTTCAATTTGTAGTTGTCAATTGGCTACTTAGTGCAGTTGAAATATCTCCCATGGCAACGAAAGAGGGAAATGCCATGGCAATTGAAAAGTAAACGAAACTAATGCAAGAATTTGGCAAAGTGCCATTGATAGACGCTGGTATGCTGGGCGAAAGTGAAAGACCCCCTAAATTCTTTCCAGCAAAGGCTTTGATGTAATGAAGTGAAAAAGCGAGTGCAAGCACATGAATGTCTAAGATGTAGCCTTTTCAAAGTATCAATAAATAACAAATAATAAATAACAAATTTTTCATAAAAATATTAAGGTTGTCTTAAAACACTATGCAATTTCATATTTTTTAGCCCTAAAGTGTCCTAAAGTGAGCTCAGCATTAACCATTCCACAAACGAAAAGAGGCAACACAAGATGAAGCCATATCATTAACTTTCGGGAACATGCCGAGTTTTACCTTTTAACCTCTCGATAAGCAGCTCATTACTCAAGTGCAGAAGCGAAAGCCCCGAAAAAGGTCAGGAGCAAAACCCAGACTCTTTGTGATTTACTGGCCCCGGGAACCGCTTGGATCAGCTAAAAATGGCCGAAACATAATAATAATTTGTTACATGCAAAAAGCACGGTGCAAAGGAGATAAACAAAATAAATGACAAAAGCATGTCAGCACAAAGAGGCAGCCGAAAGGAAAAGCAAACTAGAATGGAAATGGAAAATGGATCCGCTCCTCGAAATTGGGAGGCTTTTTGTTGCAACCCTCAGCGATTTTTTGTCTTCTTCCACGGGGCTACAGACATTTGCATAAATTATCATTTGGTGAGCCAGAACAAAAAGCCAGGATGGGCAGAGATATACCTTCGACTGGCTGAAGGAGCCGTCTTGGCTGCAAAAATAGCCGAGGGAGGGTAATAAAAGGCAAATGCATAAAATAACATAAAGTAAAACAAGAATTTATGTGCTAGAGCGGAGCAATGGCAAATATCAAACAAATTGCAATAAAATGCAAATTTAAATAGAAACGGAAAAGTCTACATAAATTCTGGCTGTGCATTAAAGCCCACCGAAAATGTTCATTTTATTTTCGGATGAAACAATTTGAATTTAAATATTTTATGCTTAATTTTAAAGAATTTTATTGCCGAACAGCAAGCCGCAGAGTCGAGAAAAGGGGAAAAGTCCGCCGGCTATTTGGTGGAAATGGGGAAGCTTGTGGCTTGGAGTCCCCCGTGTTTGTTTCCAAGCAGCTGAACACAGCTGGGAAAGTGGTGGGGAAAACGAAGACAGCTTTTCCTTACATTTTAATACACTTTTCCACCGAACACGCCCACTTGGAAGAGCAAAAAGCAACAGCCGATGGCAGGTGGAGTCTACCCATCCACCCGATGTTTGTTCCTTTTTTTAAGGGAAAACTTTTTCTGCACAATGAATTTTTGCGCATTTTCCACCTGTATGAGCTCGCCCCGGGAAAAGCGGTGTGGTGGGTAGCCCGCCCAGGAAATCGATTCGTTGTGGTTGTTGCTCTGGTAATGAGACTTTCCATGACCAAAGCGGAAAACGCCAAAAGGGAAAGAGCAGCATTTTCCAATGTTTTTCCCAGCTCGTTTCGGGGAATTCGCAACTATGCAAATGGAAGGTAAATAACAGAGCTTAGTCCTTTGGTTCAATTACGGGTAAAATAACCTGGAAAGCCCCTCTTTGGTTTTCCGGGGGACTGGGGAAAAGCTATTAGCATGTGGGCGAGATTGGTGGAGGGGTGAGGGAGCAGCAACAAATCTCAGCTAATTAAAGTCAACAAGCAGAATCATTTGAAATGCAAATGTCAAACGGCATAATGGTAATATGTGAGTGTGTGAAAGAGGGAATAATATGTGTGTGCTGAGGAATTAAGCAAACCAAAAGAGCAAAGAATCCGGGAAAGGAAAATAAGGGTGTTACAATATTTGCAATCTGTTAAGATATTCGAACACAAAAAAATGTAAGGTTAATTTAAAACATTTTTTCTATTTTTAAGTGATATTTATATTATAATTTGAAAATTAAAATTGTTACATTAAAAATTGCATGCTATATTTTGCAATCTATTAAGATATTCCAACACTAAAAAATATAAATTTATTTTAAAAATATTATATTATTTACTAGTGATATTTATGTTATAATTCGGAAATTAAAACATCTCTCAGTATATTATCTTAAATAAAATATGAGCTTTCTAGAATATCCAATAAACAATTTGAATTCCCTTCTGCACTTCCATTTAGCACTTTTCCCCAGAATCCCTCATATGTTTTATAAGGGCCCTAACACGTTCCAAACACCCGCACAAGCAGAATAATTTTTAGCTCTTTAAAGTTGAAGTACACAAATTTTGATGAGGGTAATTATTGGCAGACTCCTCGGGGCTGTGTTGGAAAAGGGTAATCCGAGATTTATGCCCGATATAAATAGGAAGCGGAGGGACGCAAAAAATTAAG